GAAAATTCCCTGACATCTCCATTGTATATTTTTTGTCATTTAAATAAATAAAGTGTTAAAGAAAAATGATTCTGTTTATAAAGCTATATAGAATGTTGAAGATTTTGCTAAAAATAGAAACCTATACATACTTGTACATATATGCAAATTATCCTTATTGACCTCAATATTCACATTATCACCATTTTATTATCATTATCATAATCACAATATTTAATACTTTCATCAATGACTTTCACATCACCTTGAACTGTAGTAAGTCTTGGCAAAATTACTGTACCCTTACTTTAATTAAATTATCAATATACAATCATGTAGTAATACAAGTGGCACAAGGTGAAAAAAAGTGAGATTCTTCTTAAACATCAATTTAAAATTACATCAAAGACAAAGTACAAAAGTACTAATCCACTATCAGAATGATCCAAAACAATTTTTTCCTAAATTTATTCAATTTCCATTTCCTTTAATTTCCATTTTTTTCTTCTTATTTCCATATTTCTAATATTATTCTTTCAAAAGAAAAATACATTATTTTTCCTTTGCTTTTGTAACGAACTGACAAGGCACTTGACAGATCAACTTTTGTCAATCTCAATGTCCTAATTTAAGGTCAAGGTCACCAATCATCAGGTTCACGAAACAACTTGTCTTCCTCTTTTTCTGAAAAAGACAATAATGTGAAGGGTATAAATAACTAGAACTATCGCTGAATGCGATTCATACCCCCACCAATGTCCTTGACAGAAGAAGACTTGGAAAGGTGGTTAAGGGAATAACTTAAGTGGCACAAATACATAAAAAGAAATTATCTCTGCTGAAAAAAAGACTAATAGTACAGGTAAAAGTGTAAATATATTATCAAATCATGTTCGAAAGAGTTACAAAAACCCTTTCATTTTCCCTATGTACTAAACATTTTATTTTTAAGTCAATTTTTGACCTTCAAGTGTGGCCTTGACCTTAATCTGGCACACGGGTAACATGGGTTTTGCACATCGCACAGTTGGGGTGAACATTTGAGTAAAGTTTGAAGAAAATCCTTCCATTAGTATAGAATTTATAGAGCGGACACAAAATACTGTCTAGTATTGATTGTATGTAAATTTGAAGACTTAAAAAGGGGCATAACTTTGTCAAAATGCAATACAGAGTAATGAAACTTGACCTGCATATCTTATTTGCGACATCTCATATATCTTAAAGTTTCAAGCAAATACCTGTGCTAGTTTCAGAATTATTCAAGTACATGTTAAAATTTAATAACATTTTCTAAGTCAATTAGTGACCTTCAAGTGTGACCTTGACCTTTAGAAGGCACAAAGGTGACATGGATTCTACACATAACCTTGTTGAGGTGAACATTTGAGTAAAGTTTGAAGAAAATTCTTCCATTAGTATCGGATTTATAGAGCGGACACGACATATTGTCTAATATTTGATTGTATGTAAATTTGAAAACTTAAAAAGGGGCATAACTTTGTCCAAATGCAATACAGAATTATGAAACTTGACCAGCATATCTTAATTGTGACACTTCATATATATTTTAAGTTTCAAGCAAATACTTTTCTAGATTCAGAATTATTCAAATAAATGTTAAAATTTAAGAATATTTTCTAAGTTAATTTTTGACCTTCAAGTGTGACCTTGACCTTAAGCCGGCAAAAGGGTGACATGGGTTCTGCACATCCCCTTGTTGAGGTGAACATTTGAGCCAAGATTGAAGAAAATCTTTCAATTAGTGTAGGACTTACAGAGCGGACACAACTTACAGTGTAATATTTGATTGTTTGATATTTAACCTTCAATTGTGACCTTGAGCTGACACATGGGTAACATCGGTTCTGCACATCCCCTTGTTGAGGTGAACATTTGAGTCAAGTTTGAAGAAAATCCTTCAATTAGTGTAGGACTTAAAGAGTGGACACGACATACTGTGTAATATTTGATTGTTTGATATTTGACCTTTAATTGTGACCTTGACCTTGAGCTGACACATAGGCAACATGGGTTCTGCACATCCCCTTGTTGAGGTGAACTTTTAAGCCAAGTTTGAAGAAAATCTTTCAATTAGTGTAGGACTTACAGAGCGGAAACGACATACTGTGTAATATTTGATTGTTTGATATTTGACCTTCAATTGTGACCTTGACCTTGAGCTGACACATGGGCAACATGGGTTCTGCACATCCCCTTGTTGAGGTGAACATTTGAGCCAGGTTTGAAGAAAATCCTTCAATTAGTGTATGACTTACAGAGCGGACAGGACATACTGTGTAATATTTGATTGTTTGATATTTGGCCTTCAATTGTGACCTTGACCTTCAGCTGACACATGGGCAACATAGGTTCTGCACATCCTCTTGTTGAGGTGAACATTTGAGCCAAGTTTGAAGAAAATCTCTCAATTAGTGTAGGACTTACAGAGCGGACACGACATATTGTCTAATATTTCATTGTTTGATATTTGACCTTCAATTGTGACCTTGACCTTGAGCTTACACATGGGCAACATGGGTTCTGCACATTCCCTTGTTGAGGTGAACATTTGAGCCAAGTTTGAAGAAAATCCTTCAATAGGTATAGGAGTTATAGAGCGGACATGAAAATGGAGACGGACGGACCGACCGACGGACGGACCGACCGACGCGACAAAGCGAATCCATTATAGCCCCCCCCCCCCCACATTTTGTGGTGGGGGTATAATAAATGTAAAAGGTCATAAATAATAGTATCAGTAAAAACATTCAATAAATAATATACAACTGAACCAAGTAGGCCTAGTCCACTATGCCACCAGCACAATGAAAGGTCAAATGTACAAGTGCAACAAATAACTGTTACCATAAAAAAATTCAAAACCTTAGTGCAGTAATGGTTTAACTCCTTACATTTATTTATAGGCAGTTAACCTGTTACTGCACTAAGGTGACAACATGGTTCTATAAAATTTCATATTTCCATTATTTATAAAGTTCATTAAACAGAAACATTAAAAAATATAACAGATGATTTGTACATAACATAGCGTTAGAAAAAAAGAGAGGATAAATATATGATATATAAAAGAAATAGCAAACTCCTTGATAAAGAGGGATTTGACCCCTGTGAACATTGGAGGTTGATAAATTTGTGAAATAGATAGTTAACTATTATATTGAATAAAAGGCGTTTCAATCAAAAATTATAAATCCACTTCAGTTTTGCTGGATCTTAATAGCGATATTGAGTGATAAATGGAAACTGTTTTAAGAGGTGTGCAATAAGAAGAACATCTTTTGTATAAAGATGACATTATTAATGACAAAACATAGTTAAAATAGGCTTTACATGCATGAAACATTAAAATGTAACTGGTGACACTAATTCAAAATAATTCTATTTTGAACAATACCTTACAGTTTGTGCTGTTTGCTATACTAAATAAACAAAGAAAGAAGTGAATTGTTAACTTTTGTTAATTAAATGTGTGAATGCTAGTAGTTGAATTTCTAGCATTTTCATTACTTACGTCTTGTGAAACATTACAAGGGCCAATATGCTTCTACATACATGTACTATTATTATTATCATAAAACCTAGTAACATACATTTCTTGCATGTATCATATAAGCCATAGAAGAACCTCCCAAGATTGAAAGGTTTATAAGAGGTACCTCTTAACATATATATCTTACATATCACTTTTATGAAATAAGGTGCTATATAAGAAACTGTAAAGGATAAAGAACTTAATGGCAATATGCAGCATTTGCAAATTTTGTTTTGGTTTTAAACACAGAATTTATCTAATTTTGTTCATATCTTGGTAGTTGGTCCATCTAACAACCACCTGACAACCACCTCACCAGCTTTCCTGGATAAATACCCAGTAATTACCAATTTCTCCACAAGTGACCAACTACTAATCCCACATGATTTCTGAATCAGTGGTTAGAGACAAATGACCACAAAACTCAATGTCCGACATGTATAATTATTGTCATAGAGAAATTCCACTTGGCCTGAAGATCAAACCAGCGACCATTGGATTACATCTGTTAATACAAATCTGTTGCTCTCCCTATTGAGCTAAGAGAGTGGACAAATTAAAAATTAAGTTCTTGTCTCCACCCAACCACTTTAACATTTATCAATATTTAACATTTTTCTATACCAACAAATTTTTTGACAAGTGACAAGTTCATACCCAACAAGCTTATAATTATATTTCATTGGCTTGGTGGAGAAAGATTGTACCTCCTCCTTTAATCCCCATATAAGTTACATCTGCCTTCCAGCACTTTTTTTTTTAATAAAATGTTGCGCAACTACCAGTAGATAGTTAATTTATGTCTCCACCTACCACCATCAAAACTTTAATACCTTGATCTTGTTATATTTTTGTAACTGTTTTATGATGCTTGCTATAATCATAATCACATAACGAAGGTTGATCGCAAAACTGTTGTAAGTCCTTCTTTATTTCATATAAGTTTCTGCAGTTTTGCAGTCAACCTCCAATAATCATTATACTCGCCCACAGCAACTTGGGAAGTAATAAACCTATAGTTATGAATGCACTATTTTTTTTATATATATGAGCCGCGTCACAACAAAACCAACATAGTGCGTTTGCGACCAGCATGGATTCAGACCAGCCTGCGCATCCGAACAACACATTTTAATAACCAGGTAAAGATTGAATAAATCTGATAAATTTAACAGTCTTAATGACTTTATAAAAAACCAAAAAAAAACTTTAAGAGCAACCAAAGTGACAAAATTAAAAATGTTGCAAGCTCAGTTTGACTGAACCTGTTGATGGGCCCAAGCTACCATCTACACCCCTAGCATCCTCCGCTTACTAAATTTTCGAGCAATTATACATAATCATACATATGTATGTATTCATACAATAGTGACTAACTTTTTCAGGAAGGTGAAAATTTAAAAATAAACAGGTGCCATGTATTATAAAACCATTGTAACATCCATCACCAATGAACATCAAATACCTTCAAACATGAACCAACTATGCTAAGGGAGGAAAATCTTCCTCTTTAATTGTAAACTCTGGTTTTTCAATCTTTTCATCTTTTTTCTCTTCCCCATTTTTCTTGCCCTTATGCCATGATTTTTTCTTCCCATCATGTGTCTTATTCTTGTTATTTTTATTGAAATTTTTCATTCCTTCTAAGTTTCTTCTTCCATGGAAGGTTTTCTTTCCATTGTATTTTCCTTTACTTTCCTTTGGTCCTTGGTTGATTTCTTCAGGTCGCTTTAATATCACTGTGTAAGACCATATTTTAACATTAAAGCGAAACACATCCAGATTTAAATAAAACTTTTATGAAAACTTGAAAGTTATTTCTTTGCATAAAATGTTGTCAATGTGTGAGAATGAAGAGATTTAAAGTGCAGAAATTACCTAGACACCTTTTCATTTGTTGGTTGGGGTTTTCATTGCACTACCATGATATCTGTCATTTGGCAACTTTCCAGATTTACAGGTGGAGGAACACCTCAGATGCCCTTCCGTGCATTATTTCAGGCACGAATGAGCACCTAAGTGGAACCAGAGACTTCCATAGGCAAGCTGTTTGTTTGTTTCATTTTACCCCTTTTCCCATCAGTATTTCAGTCATATAGGCGAGTAGTTTCCTAACCATCATTCCTGGAGAGTTACACCAGTACTAGACGACCTTCCTCCGCGCTAAACTACCAAAGCATCTCCCGGGGATCAAACCCACGCCAGAGAGGTAACTGGATTAGAAGTCATCGACTCTAACCCCTCAACCACGAAAGCTGGATGGTTTTCACACATGAAAGAATCAGGAGACACCTGCAGGCTTGAACCTGAACCTACAGAGGTGTGAGGCAAGTGGACCCTAACCACTCTGCCATAGAGTCAGTAACAGCACAAAATTTCAGGTAGAAAATTAATACCTTCCATCAAATTTTGAATATAACGAAATGTGAATATAGTTTCATTTCTTGTACTATATAATATATTTGTTTTCAAAATATTTGATTCCTTGAAAGGGTGTCCCTGGCCAGATGTAAAGTGGTCGACTTTAAACGACTTGGCCCTCATCTCTGCAGGTTCATGTGGATTCTTTCATGTGAGGAAGATTTCTTGAAAATTTACTATGCTAATCAGGAGGCATGTTGCATTAAAAGTGGTTTCAATTTAATTGGCTGAAGTTGAGGAAGCCAAAAATTTAACATTGGCCATTTTGATTCACATTCCCTTTAATGCTGTGTTTGGACATTGGCACATTTCTGTTAAGGCAGTTATCAAGGTTATGACAATTTTTTATTTTTATTTGTGCATCAAGTTACATGCACACTGTTTAAAATGATAGTGACTGCTTCAGCTTAAATGTTGTATGGTGACTTTTTCAGATATCTCCATAAATAATACTTTTTAGCCCCTACTTTATTAGAAAGGTCAATCTATGTAAGGCCTCTGGTAGCCTGGTACTGAAATTTGGTATTGAAATTTGGTATTGAAACTAATCTTCATATACATGTAATGAAAATATCAATTTTAAATTTTTATCTTTTTTTTTTTTTCTTAATGAAATAAAAATATGCATCAATCATCAGATATTCTCTTTTGATTCCTCCTTATCATTACAAACATAAGTGATTGATTGATAATGTCACATTAAAACAAGATTATTAAATATTAAACTAAATATTTACACTGTTTGGAAGTGTTTGCTAAATGCTAAATCAATATAAAATATTTTTTCGTCCACATTACCTGTAAAACAATACCATTTGGCAAAAGTTTAAAATAATCGCTAACCCATTATCTTTAAAAAAAAAGGGGGGGGGGGGGGTAAAAATCTGTCATCTTGCACAAAGAGAAATGAAATGAATAATGCAATTATACCATTGTTATTTTGACCGACTTTACCTTTAAAATAAAAGATTTAAGGGCACGTGTAGCTTTTGAACAAGTTTTTGGACAAGGTCTCTTGTACCGAAATAGGCTACAAGTGCAAATGTTAATCTTGAATGAACAAAAACTTTCAAAAATCTGCTGTCTTACTTTTTTTGTGAAGTATTTTTCTTACCAAATTTTTATTTGTTTTTTATTGGTTAAAAATGAATTGATTCCATTTATATGAAGAATAACACACATAACATGTTTGATTCATGACATCTTACTTTCTGTATTAATTATAATAAAGATTGAATAAGCTATAATACAACGAAACAATGACAATATAAATGTATTCTCCACAAAGACTTTACTTATCTCTACATAAATGTAACAAAATGCTCACAGCCTTAAGTAAATTTGTCAAAAAATTTGCTTAATGTCCTACTGAAAAGACATATCTTATAGAATTAACACTTCTCCTAACAGACCATCAACTTCCTCAAAGATTTCTCCTATCTCTTATTATAGCCAAAAAACAGTCATTTAATGACAAGAGATATCTCTTTTGAATTATTCCACCTTCTTATAGACCTTAGCAATTTAACAGACTTGACCCCATCTCCTCAAAAAACTTGACCCATCTCCTGAAAGACTTGACCCATCTTCTTAAAGGCTTGACACATTTCCTGAAAGACTTGACCCAACTTCTTAAAGGCTTGACCCATCTCCTGAAAGACTTGACCCATCTTCTTAAAGGCTTGACCCATCTCCTGAAAGACTTGACCCATCTTCTTAAAGGCTTGACACATCTCCTGAAAGACTTGACCCATCTTCTTAAAGGCTTGACACATCTCCTGAAAGACTTGACCCATCTTCTTAAAGGCTTGACACATCTCTTAAGAGACTTGACCCATCTTCTTAAAGGCTTGACACATCTCCTCCAATACTTGACACAACTTTACACAGACTTGACCCTTCTCCTCAGTGACTTAAACTACCTACATACTGACTGCAGATTTATCCCATCTCCTCACAGGCAATAAGCAATCCCTGCACTGACCTAACAAATCTAAGGGAATTGACGAATCTACTCATAAATTTATCCCATCTTTTTCCTGACTTGAAATTTCTCACAAACTTAACCTATTTCTTTGATTAGCCTATGTCTTTGTTGACTTGATATATCTTAGTCATAGCCAGGCTAAGCATTTCTTTTGCTAACTTGACATATCTCACACATAGTGTATCTCCTCATTGACTTGCCTTTTAGCCTTTTTCTCACTGACATGACATATCTCACCGACATAAGCCTATCTCCTTATTTACTAGACGTATCTCACAGACTAAGACTACCATATCTCCTTGCTGACTTGACATATCTTACAGTCATTGGCTGTCTTTTGACTAACTTGACATACATCACAGACTCATTTCCTCACAGACAAACACTTATATCCCACAGACAAATTTCATCTCCACATGAAATTTACCCACCTTTATGGATTTGACTTACATCTTAATAGTCTTGATATGCTACCTCGAGACCTTTTTTGCCATTAATTTTATCAATGTCCTTATCAAGATCACCAAGCTTATGGCCTAAATGGTATATCCACTGTCCTCACTCACCACTATATGTATATCCATTAATACCAGAATTTGAAAACAACACATGAATTGTGCAAAAAGTAACACCCTAATATGCAAATATATGGCAGAAATGAGTGAAAACATGAATAAGCGATATACGCTGTGACCACTCTATTTTGTAGTAAACCAAATTGAAAGAACTTTTTTCTTTTATTTCTGTTTGGTTTTACGGCACACCAACACAATTTAGGTCATATGGTTCTTAAACAGGGAAGATGATTTTGGCGAACCATGGTAGTTACAAACTTAAAGCAGCACCAGAGGTCATAACCACCTCATCTGCTGTAGCTAAGAGATGTGTAGACTACAGTAATTCAAAACCATTTATTCACTTCTTACAATCACGCAGGTATAAATGGTTGCTGCAATTCTGATGCCTCAACCCTTAAAGGCTACCCCTCAGCCACAAGAGGTAATAATTAAGATCATGAAGATAGTTAGACATTTTATTCCAACCCTTATTAGAAAAATTTCAAGGAGAATCTTTGCTTTTCAAAATCATTCATTAGAATGACGACCTTGCCTACTTTTATATTTTGGTGAAGTTCGTTTGTGCAATATCATTATTGTCACATCTCTGCACAATTTCAAATCCCCACAATTTCAATTCCTGCAATTTAAAATCTCAGCATTTTCAAATCTCGACATACTGGATATACACTGTGTCAAAGACTAACTTCCTAAAACAAGAACGGACACATGTGCACTAGAATGACACTTTAGAACATGTCCCAACATGAGCAAACACATACCAATCTTTTTCCCTGAACTGTTTATATCCTCGGGCCATTTTATGCTCTCGTCTTTCTCTGGGGTAGATGTGGGGGTAATTCTTGACTGAAACTCTGGGGCACTGTAAAAAAAGATTCTTTTCCTTAAGCTATATTTTCACTTCTGGTTGAATAGCAACTAATTGCAGAAAACAATGCCCACACTTTGTCAGAATCTTGAAAAGAAGAGCTTATATACACAATCTACGTGACACTTATTGCAAAATATAAGAGTTTAATTATTTTAAGTTTTTTTTTATCTCTTGACAATTTTCCATAAAAAGAATGATGGATCAAAACTGCCAAAACATTGTTAGATTAAAACTGCCAAAAAATTGTTAATTAAATTCATATTGATTAAGACATTTTATAACATTCTTTAAGGTATTGGATATTGTATGGATAAACTAACAAGTGTGAAAAGTTTCCTAAACAATTTTTTTTTCAAAGGGTCTGAAAAATTATCAACTGAAAACCAATCAGACTTACTCTACGTTCAATGACTTTGCCTTCTTTCTCCCACTATCTGAAAGAGTCCCATTGTTCTCTGGGGAATGAGATCTTTTCGTGCCTTTCTTTACTTCAGCTGAATGCCCATCATGCAAATTATGCCCACTAGGGGGAGCTGTGGTCTGTGTAGGTGTATGGAATTGGCTATGACCATGTGACTGTTGTTCTGGTTTCTGATTGGTCCATTTGTACTGGCTTGAATGTTCATGCCGAGTGTAAGTTTTGTGATCGTTGTAGGACATTATTCTGTACACAGATCCTTTCTTACATAATGTCTTTAACACTGAAATATCATACAGGTGTAAACTAAGGAATATTATGTGAATGATTAATCAATATATTGTGATAAAAACACACTTCTTTTATGTTATTATTCAATTTCTGTCTTACTTTATTATTTTAAAATCTCACTTTATTATTTTAAAATGTCCCTCAATAATTATTAATGTTTTTTCCCCATTTCATTCTTTTCTTGAGTTACATTGATACAGTAACATTGATATGGCAACCTGTAAGCTGACCTTCTGCATTATTTCAGGCATAAATTGGCATTCCAGCAAAATCATATTTGACTTATGGCACACAAGTATTACCATATAAGCAAACCATATCAGACTAACGACACACAAGTACAACCATATTTGACTTTTGGCAAACAAGTGTAGCCATTTTTGACCATCCTTTATTCCTTTATATAGCAAGACCAATTGACCACATGACAAAATCTAAAGTCTCTGGGATCAAATAAGGATCAAGTGATCTGACCTTGACCGCTTGGCTATACACGTTTCTTTTTAGTGTTATACATTGTAGGTGATGATGTTAACTTGAAGCAGTATGTCTTTATTCAGACTTATAAGCTAAGTGGTTTTTGGCACATCTCGGCATAAAATTAAGCAAGCCTCATCTATACAATGATCAGCTGCTGTGGAATTCTTGTTATTTCAAGGTCTTCAATACTATCTCAAGGGGTATGGACTTATCTTTGACCAAAAAATAGCCAATCCAAGTCCCTATGTATTGATACCATCAGAATTGTAGTATTACCTGAGTTAGCAACAGATTTACTGTTGAGGGCCACATAAGCTGACACTTCATCTATCCAACCAATATGTACACTACCTGAAAAATAATATGATACTCTTATGTAACAAGATATGTTTGTAAAACATGTATGCCCCCTATCAGCAGCCAATTAGTCATGTGATAAGGTTATTATGCACGACTTCTGACCCAGTGATCAAACAATTAATAAGCGTTATCAAGTATCTACTGGTCATGACCTTGACCTTTGACCCCTTGACCCCAAAATCAATAGGGGTCATCTGCTGGTCATGACCAATCACCATGCCAAGTTTGAAGTTCCTAGGCCGAAGAGTTCTTTAGTTATTGATCAGAAACCGTTTTTACTTACAAGGTCAATGGTCAATGTGACCTTGACCTTTGACCCCTTGATCCCAAAATCAATAGGGGTAATCTGCTGGTCATGACAAATCACCATACCAAGTTTGAAGTTCCTAGGCCTAAGGGTTCTTAAGTTATTGATCAGAAACCATTTTTACTTACAAGGTCAATGTGACCTTGACCTTTGACCCCTTGACCCAAAACTCAATAGGGGTCATCTGCTAGTCACGACCAATCATCATACAAAGTTTGAAGTTCCTAGGCCTAAGCGTTTTTAGTTAATTGATCGGAAACCGCTTTTACCTACAAGGTCAATGTGACCTTGACCTTTGACCCCTTAACCCCAAAATCGATAGGGGTCATCTGATTGGTCATAACCAATCACCATACCATGTTTCAAGTTCCTAGGTCTTTTGTTATTGATGGGAAACCATTTTTACCCAAGAGGTCAATGTGACCTTGACCTTTGACCCCTTGACCCCAAATTCAATAGGGGTCATCTACTGATCGTGACCAATCACTATACCAAGTTTGAAGTTCCTAGGCCTTAAGGTTCTTTAGTTATTGATCGGAAACCGTTTTTTGCTTACCAGGTCAATGTGACCTTGACCTTTGACCCCTTGATCCCAAAATCAATAGGGGTCATCTACTGGTCATGACCAATCACCATACCAAGTTTGAAGTTCCTAGGCCTAAGGGTTCTTTAATTATCACAGGGAAACTGTTTTTACCCAAGAGGTCAATGTGACCTTGACCTTTGACCCCTTGACCCCAAAATCAATAGGGGTCATCTACTGATCATGACCAATCACCATACCAAGTTTGAAGTTTCTAGGCCTAAGAGTTCTTTAGTTATCACTCGGAAACCGTTTTTACCCAAGAGGTCAATGTGACCTTGACCTTTGACCCCTTGACCCCAAATTCAATAGGGGTCATCTACTGATCATGACCAATCACTATACCAAGTTTGAAGTTCCTAGGCCTTAAGGTTCTTTAGTTATTGATCGGAAACCGTTTTTGCTTACAAGGTCAATGTGACCTTGACCTTTGACCCCTTGACCCCAAAATCAATAGGGGTCATCTACTTATCATGACCAATCACCATACCAAGTTTGAAGTTCCTAGGCCTTAAGGTTCTTGAGTTATTGATCGGAAACCGTTTTTGCTTACAAGGTCAATGTGACCTTGACCTTTGACTCCTTGACCCCAAAATAGGGTCATCTACTGGTCATGACCAATCACCATACCAAGTTTGAAGTTCCTAGGCCTAAGGGTTCTTTAGTTATCACTCGGAAACCATTTGGTCTATGGAACGACGAACCGACAAGTGCAAAGCAATATACCCCCTTTTCTTCAAAATGGGGGCATAATAATAAGAAGTAATATTCAAACTAATACACTGGTCATTTGTACAACCTCTCCCAAATTTCCAGGAATAGTAAGAACTTTGTTTTTGAAGCCAGCAAACCAATGGTAAAGGTTTTATACACTGCAGAATACATAAATTTCATGTGTTCACTGCAGAAAACATAAATCTCATGTGCGAGAAAAAAATCTCATGTGTATACAGCAGAGTACATTAATCTCATATGTACACTGCAGAGTATATACATGTAAATCTCATATGTCCACTGCAGAGAACATAAATCTCATATGTACAATGCTGAGAACATTTATCTCATGTGTACACTACAGAGTACATAAATCTCATGTGTACACTGTAGTGTATATAAATCTCATGTGTACACTACAGAGTACATAAATCTCATGTGTACACTGCAAAGTACATCAATCTCATGTGTACACTACAGAGTCATAAATCTCATGAGTACACTGTAGAGTATATAAATCTCATATGTACACTGCAGAGTACATACATATCATGTGTACACTACGATTACATAAATCTCATGTGTACACTGTAGAGTACATAAATCTCATATGTACACTGCAGAGTACATAAATATATGTAAACTACAGATTACATAAATCTCATGTGTACACCGTAGAGCATATAAATCTCATATGTACACTGCAGAGTACATAAATCTCATGTGTACGCTGCAGAGTACATGTATTGTATGTGTTCACTGCAGAATACATAAATCTCATGTGTACACTGCAGAGTACATCAATCTCATATGTACACTGCAGAGTACATAAATATCATATGTACTGCAGAGAACATTAATCTCAATGTACACTGTAGAGTATATAAATCTCATGTGTACACTGCAGAGTACATAAATCTCATGTGTATACTGCAGGGTACATAAATTGTATGTGTATACTGCAGGGTACATAAATCTATTAAGTACACTGCAGAGTACATCAATCTCATGTGTACACTGCAGATTACATAAATATCATATGTACACTGTAGAGTACATAAATCCCATGTGTACACTGCAGGGTAGGTATCACATATAGAAAACTTTAATCAACCCATAACATTAAAATATACCCTCTAAATGATAAACATCTATAGCAATTTTAGACAAATAGTCATGAAAAATATTTCATTGACTTACCAAATTGAGCAAACAGTAGACTGATGTCAGAGTGTTTCCAGTCTTTAGGAAATGTTACATGAAATACATGATCTCTTGAAGGCGCCACTGAAAATAGAAAACACAAAATATGTCATATGTTTTATTATATCTTTCCAAAAGATTTACATAAAAGTTGTATGTCATATGTTTTATCACTTCTTACCAAAAGATAAAAATAAAATTTGTACATGTCATATCCTTTGGAAATTTATGTACTGCAGATGTCTTGCTTAGAGTTCCAAACACACCATTGTTAACTGAACGTTTTTTTAAACTCAAATCCCAAAATTTATAACACAAAAGGAAAGTAGGATATAGATGTGACATAGTCCTTATACATGTACTGTGAATTCATTTGATTTCGTTGACATGAAGTTTCATGGTTTTGTTATGGCTTCTTTAATTAGTTGATTGTATATTTTTTTAAATAAATGTAAGAAATGTAATGATTTTACAGCAGGTGACATGAAATTTGTTGGAGCTGAAACTCTTGGATTGACATGCCACGAAAATCAGGTAAATTTGTGTGCCATGATTAATAATAATTTCAAGTAATATGTATTTGGCACTGAAAGCTTCTATTTTAAGAGTTAAAAGAGGTTGAACAATTCGGTCTAAACTAGTAAACATTTCGAAATAAAGAAATATTTTAAGAATGAAATTGAAAAGTGATAATAAAAGAATTTATTAGCCAGAGTTGAATTAAAAGTGTTTTTTACATTTTTATATTTTGTATAATAAATATGATAATTCAGGAATAACTGAGTGAGCAAATAATAGGAAGTTTCACACAAACATTAATTATACTAAGTGAAATGGTATAATAATCTCAAAAAATACTTTTCCAGTCCCATCATGTCAAAAACACTTGGAAATCCGTTTAAATAATAAATAAGTAGGAACAATTGAACAAAATAGAGTGTAAGGAATGAATTTTTCAAGTGAATTCTGCAAAGGAACTCTGCAAAAGAACTTCCAGCTGCATCCATAAAATATTATGTCAAGTTAAAATTCTTCAAAAATTGCTGAATATGCAAAGAGACTTAAGCGTACTCAAAAACATTGATCGTTAGAACCCTTGAAAAACTTTGGCCCTTCCGAACTGCAAACAGTTCATTCCGATTGTTTAAATAACATGATTTACGAGCGTAAAAATAACTACATTATCCAAACTCGTAATCAGTGCCATTGAAATAATGCAACGCATGTAATTACGGTTGGCAAGTTTACACAATGGATTTGGAAACTTTACCCTGCCTTCTGACACCCTACTCTATACAGCCACTAATTAGCCAATTGCACTCTTAACACTGTCATGTAATAATTACTTCAAATAGCCACGTAGCCTTCAAGATGTGTTCCTTTTCAACAAGTCTCTTCGTCATGAATGAAATAAAATGAAACGCATGGTGTGAATTGACGACTATTTATCTTGAAGATGTTTTAAAGCGATAGTGACAATTTCAGTTGAAAATATAATAGGACACTCGCCACTTTTTACAATGGACTAATCATCATTAAGGAAAAATGATTTACATTTATACATGAATTTAAACAAATCTGTACGAGAAAAATTAGACAAATTGTTCTAATCACTATAATAGACAAATTACATGACAACGTAGAATATTCCGACAAAGATATTATAAGAAATTGCAATAGATTATTACCCGCTTTGCTCAAAAAATTTTTTTTACCAATAATTTCAATATAATTGACTTAAACACAGTTTCAAGATTGTGACCAAAATTATACATAGATGGAAATCTAGAGACTCGAGTTGACACCAAACAAACTGAAAAAGTTCTTGCAGAATGACCATTTCTATACCCATCCCATGATCCCCTATCTCTACTGCCATCAAAACCCAAAAGTTCAATTAAATTCTACAAAATAAATGGAAATTAACATCATTTCTTTGTAGGGGCTATAGCCCTTTAAAGTTTAGCGTCAGTATTAAAGGGATACACAGGCAAAATAATGACAAAAATACAAAAATGAACTTCTGTACTCAAATCACCCTAAAATGACTTTTCCTAAAGTCCCAGCATGAATTTCTGTATAGATTCTTTATTTTTTGGGTTTGAAGCTTAAATTATCTATATATGTTGAACGAAATTTGGTCGCCAACAGAATCACCGAATAGTTTAAAAACAAGTCATGTGATTTGAACACACCCTGGAAGTTACAATAACAGGTGTTGTGGATATTGTATGATTAAAACAAGTCTAAGTAATTGATTTGACATGTTCTTTAACGTTTCCAGAGTACACAGTAACAACTATTTTGAAATCATAGCGCTCTAACCTGACCCACGCGGGTCAAGTTAGGAAAACACCATTTTATTCTTTATATGGAGAAAAGTTTTGTTCTTTTTACTGTTTAGTGTATTCATTTTGATGACATTTACAGAATAATGAATGAAAAATTAAAAACTAAGAAATTAAAATTTTGCCTGTGTCTCCCTTTAAAGACACAAGTTTTTTAAGTCTGTTTTATCTATGCATCTTTTGCCCTTACCACACTAAATATCTTAAATTCTTAGACTTGTTTACCTTTCTAACTGGACAAAACCATTCCTTGCTTTTTCTGGGAACTTTTTTTACAATATGTACTGACTGAATAGCAAACAGTGCAGACTACAATATGCTGGCTGATGAAGCAGTGCAGACCATGATATACTGGCTGATCAAACAAAGCAGACCACAATATGCTGGCTGATGAAGCAGTGCAGCTGCAATATACAGGCTGATCAAACAGTGCAGACTACAATATGCTGGCTGATTAAGCAGTGCAGCTGCAATTTGATGGCTGATCAAATACAAGGCGGGGACCATGCAGATTATTGCTGGCTGATTAAACATGCAGACACAATATATGACTGGTACAATCCCAAACAGTGCGACGCAGACAACAATTCTGGTGATCAACAGGTGCAGCCCAGATAATGGCTATGGTCATTTAGTTAAAAAAAACATTGGTAGAACCAGCTGAACAGAAAAATCAATCAAACACATTATGAACATTTTAATATTTTGTCTATTTTAAAAGATTAAAAATCATCTGTTTTCACTACACTGCAAAACTACTAAAATGAGTGATATTTCAAGGTCATACTTGTAAGTAGGTGGAAAGAAATTTTTTGAATTCTTTTTTCTCTATCTGCCTACATCATTATAACATGTAAAGAGATACTTACAAATTATGAAATTGTGAGGGGAGAAGAAAAAAAGCATTAAAAAAATTGTGAAGATATTTGTGGTTAAGGATGTATCATTAAATTCTATTTTAAGTAACAAGATACAAATATTAATAGGCTTTCACCTGGAATATTTAATGATATATCTCATGATGAGATAGAATTTTTATTTATTTCCTAAATTTGACACCCACGCCTCATTCAGCAAATTTACATAGGAGTGGACACAAAAATTGAGTGTCAAGGTGAAGAAAAATAATGTAAAAAAAAATAAAATAAATAAATTTACAATTTACTGACAGGTAGATCTACAACTTTTCAGCCCGGTCATAAATTTTTCTAAATGAAATATTTGTGGCAAAGATAATACTGATACTTTCTTTCCCTATAAAAACGCTTTTTCTTTTTTGTGTCATAAACTGTGAAATAATGAAAGAAAGTTTACATAACTTTCCTATGTCATGTAAAGTGACTTTGGATTGGACTGAGCCTCAAACTATCTGTCTATTCTAAATTTGTGAAGTGACTGGTTGGATATTATAAATGTAGTATTAGGCACTATTTATTAACCATTACCATGCCAAATATCTTAAATAGACTTGCTAATCAAAAGCATTCATCAATTTTAGGGGGAAAATTCAAAATACATGTACAAACAAAGTGAAAAGCCAAAAGTGCCGATCATGATCAGACTGCAGGGATGTGCCGACTGATCTTGGTCGGCACTGGTCACATGGGTAGAATCTGTTGGCTAGGTGGGGTAGAGAATGAACTAGAAATCATCAGTGAAGTTTAAGCAGAATACGGAAACTCTGTAACAGTTGCATCCCTATTTCAGCATTTTGATAATGAAACCATTAACAATGACCAAGCAGTTCAAAATACATGTACACCTCATCAACAAAAGTCCAAAATACATCTCAAATTCAAGACAGTTTCCCTTTGTACAAATATGAACAACTACATTTAAACAACAAGAAGCAAATTTCAAAATGACACTCATTTTCTGAAAACAAGAAAAAAAATTGTTTCAAAATTTCACACAGAAATAAGCCTATGTTACACTTTTAAGCGCGGGCTTTCAAATTCCCGCCAAACCAAAAAACTTATTTTTATCATAAGATATTCGTTCTGCTGACATCGGCAAAAAAATTAAGAAATTTCCCAGCATACTACTGGTTACTCATAATACTGACTAAAAATAGAAAATTCTTGTTATGTTGTATTGTTACTTAAAAAATAGTTTCACCACTCCTTAAGGTACGCTGAATTTAAATATCCGGATCTAGTTTTTATGATAAAATGAAAATGAATGAGTTGTTTCTCGTGCAAGAATTTTACCTTTAAACATAAAAGAGGAAAAACTGTAAATCTTTTCTTAACTCATACCTCGTAGAACTTGTGAAACGAACTTGTGCTTTTAAGTATAAAATGTCCTGTCTAAAAGCGGAAACTGTCCACGATTACAACGCAGTTTCATGGATATCATAGCACAGTAAATAAGCATCCATAAGGACAAGGTTGGGTCTGACAGCATGATAGTGTGAGATGACCTGGCTTTATTATGGTCTAATGGAATATACTGATCATCAGTATTGTCACTTAAGATTTCCTACTAGAGAAGATTTTGTATAAGATGTATACTATTAATATCAATAGACTTTATTTTAGTAATTGCTTGATTTTATTTTATCATATTACAAGGAAACAACACATAACCTCATATCACGATAATTATCTGACCACCAGTGCAGAACCTGATTTATCCTAGGTATATTTACTTTAATCAACCAACATTATTTTATTTTAGTCCCCCCACCCCCTGCATTATCTCTCAAAGTTACATATTGCAACAAACCTAAACAAT